ATGGTGATTCCCTGGGAGATTTAGCTATGCAGATATAGAGTCGTCTATAGAACTTATTACTTAAGTAGTGCCCATAAGGATAAGACACAGGACCTGGAACAAGTATCTAAAGGAGAAAATCTTAGGGAAAGTTTAGAAGCTGGAAATCTATGACTGATTCTTTAGGTTTTTGTGTTCTGCCCCAGAAACATGGAATGAGCATGGACAAGGTACCCTCCTAAAAGCAAAATAAGTGATTTTAGGAATCTTGATGTACTTTTGTTTTTTGTAGGATTATAATAAAGATAGTGACCATTCTTAAGTAAGGGTTTATGACAGATACAAAAGGGAAATTCAGTGAACTGTCTGTCTTCCTGAGCAACTTGTCAAATCAGTAATTCTCTGATTGTAGACAGTGTAAATAGCAAAACACAGTGTATCAGAAGTTAAGAGCCAGAATGGTGCTATTATGTTAGATATAAATAAATAATATAAACAAGGGGCTGAGGAATTAGATTTCCATGGAAAGATCAGATATTCAGTATAGCAGATCAATACAATTGGAGAAACTTGAAATAACAGGTAGTAGGAGATAACTTCTGATCTATTAACTTAGCCAAACATTCTTTCTAGTTTTCTGTAACCATAAGGCTTTATGACACCAATTTTAAGAAAAAGATATATATTGAATTAAAAGAATTGATTTGATTGTAATGTTAGATTTTAGTTCTCATGAAATTTGCTGTTTGCTCATTTTGTTTCTTTTACTTTGATATGCTTACATAATCATGGGAGACTTTAGAAAAAGTCTATGAGGAAATGATTTTGTGTATAAATAAAGCCTGTGAGAGATAGAGGTTGTCAGAATAGGTCAAGATATACTAAGATGTGCACTGTCTATCTATCATAAAACCAAGAATTGTCCATTTTCTGCCTTCTCTGTTGCTGATCCACCCATCTTCAGACCCTGCCCTCATCTGTAACTGGATTCCAGAAGGTATCAACAGTTATATCAGTATCAACAGCTATAAACTCTGTGACCTACAACGTAACCTACATGAAAGAGTTACTGATGCAATAGCAGAACAATGTTTTAGGAGTTACCAACCATTTTTTGATTAGAGTTAAGGTCTGTTTCATGACATGGAACCCACACTTGAAACTGCCAAAGAGGCCAAGAACCATGCTCTAGATATATCATGGGCCTAGGATAAAGATTAATACTACTATTCTGCTACAGAAATATAGCAATAAAATGATCACTAATGGTATTCTTCTATACCCATAGAGCAGTGCCTGCCTCACTCAACCCATATTAGGGGACCATCTTCTTGCAATAGGTGGCAATCAGAATGGAGACCCACAGCTGGACAATGTGCAGAGACTGAGGAAATCTGGGGTACTTAGTCCTAAATAGGATAGCTTCATCCAACCAATCCTCTCGAGGCTGGACAATCTATGCTGAAGAGGAGATGAAGAGCCTGACAGTAGCTTCAAGGAAACAGCATCTTTCCGAGACAGCAGGACTGATACACATATGAACTCCTGGAGTCTGCAGCAGTATGCACAGGACCTGCACAGGTTCTGGCCAGACAGGGTCCCAGCATTGAGAGGGGGAAATGGACACAGGGTTACCCACCTAAACAAAAGTCTATCTGCAATTGATAACTAAAGGCAAAGGGAAAATACATTTTCTCCAATGAGTCTCACTGGGTTTACCAACCACACTCCAGAACAGGCCCCTACACGTACTCAGGCAGCACAAAATGAACTCTGCTTTTGTAGACTTTTTGTTTCATTTTGCTTAGTTTTGACATTTTTAAAATCTCATTAGTAATTTACTTCTTTGTTTTGATTTTTGTTTTGTGTATGTTTGTCTTATTTCTCTTGCTACTTTTATTAAGTATTTGAATGAGAGAGTGAGAGAGAAAACCCAAATCTGGTAAGGGAATGTGGAGCATCTGGGAGGAGGCAGGGGGGAACATGATCTAAGTATATTTTCATAATGGAATTTAATAAAAATAAAAAAGACTTCCATGAACATCAGGCAAAGTACTGGGTTCCACCTATTGATGGGTCTTTAGATAAAGGAAGAAGAAAAATGAAAGACATTTCATGAACCTTCTGTGTTCAAGAATATCAAAAATGTTCTCATAAAGCATTTCTTTCCAAATAAAGTGCTGCGACGTGAGTAGTGAAAAGCACCCTCTAATACACCACACAAGCCATTGCTGACATTAAATAGTGCTTGCTACTATAATATATGAAAACCTACAGATCAACAAGAACCTGTGTGGGTGTTTCCTTTCCAAAAGACTGAAAAATTTGTTTTGAGGAAAATGTTTTTGGAAAACTGTTAATACCAAATGCATTGAGTTCCTGGACTATAGGAAAATACATTTTAATTAGCAAAGGAAACTAATTAGCAAAGGAAGATATGCTAGAGTTCATCTAGAGTATTTGGATTTGGTGACTGAGTATGTATAGAAAGCTTGCTGGTAAGAGGCTTAGAATATGTAATATTTTCAAGGTGAGCAAGAGGACCAACTGCATGTTAACTGTATCATGCAATACAGAAAAGGGCTCTCAAATGCCAGTAAAGCTGCACCTGACATTTACCAAGAGACCAGGCATTGTTGGCAGATACGATATGTTCCACAGTTTGATGCCTGTGTTTTATTTGAGGAACCTGAGGAGAGCAGTGATGTTAGCAGCTGTTTCGATGTTGGTGCTTCTCCCCATTCCCATGCAATTCTCCTGAATCATGCACACGTGTTTAAATAAGGAGTGTTGCAAAAAATGTACAACTAAGAGGACATCCATTAATTAGGGCATACTTAGCCTTTTGATGGAATGATGTTTTGAAGAAAACAGTTCTAATGGTAGGCTCAGAGATGCTGTGAAGGGCATGTAAATTTCATATCACTGTTATTACTCAGTAGGCATTTGCTGTCTCAAGTCAACATTCATGTCTTATTGGCACTAATGATTACTAATATTTATAATGGCGTAATAAACAGACCTAATTATCATATTTTTCATCTGTTCTTATCTTGGTGAGTCATGTGGCCAGTGTTCAAATATTAATTTTCTGTTGGGTTTGGAGAAGTTTCTAGTGTTAAGGGAATGTATTGGAAACAGTTTTGTGAAAACTATATGTAACAATGTAGTAATGCCTTGATTTGCTCCCAAATGCAACATAAAACACATCTGTTACCATGAAGGCTAACTCATCAGGATTCATTGTTCAGAGTTCTGAAAATGATCATGAAAGAATTGTTCAACTCCCATATCATGCCATGTGATTCCCAGTTAGCAGTGTAATCAGGCCTTAATTAGAATGAAATTTTGTTTCCTCTAAGCAGCCTATTGTTATCATCGTTAGGAATGAATGTTCTTAAGTTGGTTCATATTTTAGGCCAACTTCATTTAACATTTTGTTTATTTAATCTGAGTAGTTTTCACTTTATTCTGTCAATGCATTTGAAAATGCAATATTGATACTGTGTGTTACTAACAAAATTGCATTGTGTTTTACTTTGTGAAGTTGTATGTTTCCATATATTGCTAAGAATGTTATATAACCACAGTTTTCTGTAAATGGAAACAATGAACATAAACTCTCTGGGTTTTCTATCAGAGAATTCAAAGAAATAATAATTCAGATATAATTCTATATAAGGCAATATGCTGGGGTCCGGCCTGTGTCAGTCCTATGCTGCAGGGGTCATCCATCCTGGGCTGATGTCTTTAGGAACGAGCCAAACAGCCCTGGGTCCAATCCTGAGTGTGAGGGTGTGGATCAGGGAAGTCCTAGCTACCCAATGACCATTACAAACAAGATATTTCAGGAGGGCTCTAAGTCCATACTGGAGTCACTGGTTTATTCAAGCATCCTCCTAAATAGCTTTCTAAAAGCAGGTGTACTGGAAGAAGGCATCTATTATCATGTATATAGGGCTGCCTAGGAAATACTTCCTGTAACCCTAGAGATGGTCCTAGAATGAAGTACACAAACCCTCAGACACCCACTAGCCCCCATGATGGGTGTGGGGTCTAGGTCTATTACACAAACTAGAAGTCATTTTCCACTTTGGCCAGGCCATCCTGAGGTAACCAGCCAACATCTAAAAGACAATAGGACATTCGAGCTCCTGGAATTGAACTGAGGCCTAATACAGAAAAATCATATTCGGGCCCCGACAATCCCCCCCTTTAATAAAATGATACCTGTGCTTCTGCAACAGGACAGATGACTGTGCCTGTCTTAGGCAGCTTTCTTTAACCTGTCAGAGGTTACCTGTCATGGAATCACGCATTCTGTCATGCATGTTCTGTCTTGGGCCCTTTGGAGGCAAGAAAGGCCTTTCCAGCCTTTGGCTAAACCTGCCTTTGTAACAAAGAACATTAGTGGGGGATGGGCCACGGTTTAATGCCACAGGCCTCTAAGCCAATTATTCAATGGGAGCTCACCTGGAAGCTTGACAACATCAAACGACTTCTATGCTCTCACAGCTGCAAAGATCTCCTGCAAATAGGAACAGATGAACCAAGTTAAAATTGCCTTTTGAAACTGGTGTGGGAATGTCGAGTGCCTCTTGCTATGTCAAAGTCTAAATCTGCCTTTCTAAACATCTTTTACCCAAAGACTTATAAGCTACATATCACATTCCTGTTAGAATGAGTTTTGACCTCTAGTACCCACAAACACTCACGTAGCATAGCAAAGGTTACAAACATTAACAATTTCTAGTATCAATATCAACCATGAACATACATTTGGCTGAATTACAATTCAAACAAAAGACAGTAAAATGTTCTCATGACCATGACCGGTAGAGTGCAAACAACTCCATAACTCTAACCTTTTTCCTTTTTTTCTTGTATATACTCTAATGCCCTTAGTTTATAGAATAGTAAATGATTTAAATCTGTAAATTTTAGGGTAAATTGAATGATGACAGTGAACCTTTTAGCATATCTTGTAAACGTTAACTTCGTTTTTCCCCCCTCTCTTTTAGGGTGTGGTTAGACCTACTGGGGGATATGCTGTAATGTTGAACTGGACAATGTCTTCCATATATGGCCTCAAACCTGGAGAGGTAATTGAGGTTTTACACTCCTACCACATGGTGTTTTTTTTTCTGGTTAAGACAGGCATTTTATTATCTTTTTTATTTTTTAGGTATGGTGGGCAGCTTCTGATTTAGGCTGGGTTGTCGGACATTCCTATATTTGCTATGGACCTCTTCTACATGGAAACACAACAGTTTTATACGAGGTAACAAAATAGAATTGACATTATACACAGGACCCTTATTTAACCGGATGTTCTTGATGAGTAGTCCTGGTTCAGGACTAGTGAAATTTGAGGGCATCAGGAAATGTTGTTACAGCGTCTTTAGTTAAAAAGGTTATTTCAAATAGAAAGGGATGTAAAGAAAGTAACAGTCAACTGTTTCACTTGTGTTGAAGAAAAAAGTCAATAAAGACAAAATTCTGGAGTGCATAAAAATAACAAGCTTAAAATCTATCCCAGGGTATTTCTAAGTGGTAGTATTAGAAATACCAATTTTAGAATCCTAAAAATGTGTGATGATAAAACAATCAATATAGACTCACATTTCGTGTATTTACAGAATGAGTGGATTTAGAAAAGTATTGTCTCTATGTTAATAAATATTTTCCATGGATTTTTAATATGAACTATGAATATAAAAAGAGAAAGAAACCTAGAGTGACTGGATGAAAAGCTGAATGGTTAGCAACTTAAAGACTGATATAATAATAACGCCACCCTGAAATTAGGTTTCTATATGCATATTAGAGAATGCCCCTCATGTGTCTGTTTTCTGTGGTCCTATCAGTAACATACATGGAGACATATCAACATACTTGAGTGTGAAGTGATTCTCAACCTATGGATCACGGCCCCCCAAAAGCATCAGAATACACAGATATTTACATTTCAATTCATAACAGTAGCAAAAATATAGTTACAAAGTAGCAGCAGGCATAAGTTCATGGTTGGGGGTCACCACCACAACCTGAGGAACTATATTACAGGGTCGCAGCCTTAGGACGTTTGAGGACCAGTGGAGAAGAAGATGGCCCTACATTAAGTTTGGTTATCTCTCTGTCTGATGACCTCAGTTGAATCCACAGAACCCACACTGCAGAAGGAGAGAACTGACTCCTCCTGCAAGTGGTCCTCTGGCCACATGCACACCACAACGCAGACAAAAGTATGTTTGGATATGTGCACACAGGAAAAAATACACCAAATTAGTTTCTAATACTTTAAACATCTGGGTGTGAAAGCAAATATGGTTATTTTCCTAAATTATCATTTAATATGATACTGTTCTTTTTGGAAAATCTAGCATGATGGACAATAATGACATCTGTACCAACTCCTATTTAAATGGAAACATAATGAAGTGACTAGGGCTACAGAAATGGCTCAGCAGTCAAGAGACCTTTATCCAGAGACTGGGGTTTGCTTTCCCAGCAACCATGGCAGGCAGGTCTCCACAGTTTACAACTCCTGTTCTATGGATTCTCTCAGACCCTGCAGTCCTCTGCAGGCACCTGCACTGTGCAAACACACATGGACATGCCCTCCCTCCCCCATAAGTAAGAAGTAAATTAAATTGTTTTAAAATCTTGCCATAGAGATTAAATAGGATTGTTAGTTGTCTATAGCTTTTGCCTTTCATTTTCCTATGTAATCTCCCAAATCACTCAAGCAAGTTACTGATCTATTGCTTTAAAAATATTCACCGTATGTGGTGGTATAATCTCACTTTTCCACACTTGAAAGTTTGTTTTCAGTTCATATAAGGGACAGAGAAAGTAATTACCTTCTAGACAGAAATGATGAATTTGGAAGCAGTTAGTTCAAACAGCATCTTAATTTGCATATTTTATAATTCTGTTTTGAAGTTTGAAGAGCTACTGCATTTTTGTAGTACTTTATTAAGTCCTCATAATATAATCATGGGACATGTATTTTAGGAATAATCAGGCATAAGTCTAACACTGTAGTAGAATGGGCAGCTTCTCAATCATGGGCTGTCCCACCACATCAGCAATCTCTCACTGTTTGAAATGAAATATCAGACTGAAAAATGGGGCATGTAAAAAAAGGTATCAGGTTGTTTACATATTTTGCTATATTAAGAATTACCAACTCAACAACTGTAAAAATCATTTGAGGCCATTCTTTGATCTCTTGAAATTTTCCTGCACACTCTATCATTTGAAAACTCCCATCATTTTTGGTTGACTAGTTTTCTGTCTCTGAAAAATATAATAGTCTTCAAAAGAAGTGTTAGAACATAACACATGATTCCACTCTTCTTGCAAGTGTTTTCATATCCTGCAGATTTGATAGACATTTAGATGTTTGTAATGTAACACATGAAATAATCTTGACACGTCTGCTCAAAACTAAAAGTCCTTGCAACAGATACATTTTATTTTCATTAAGATCGTCATTCTTCTTGAAAACAAAATAAATGAATCCTTATGTTAAAATGTGACATTGCCTATTCAAATGTGACAAAACATAATTTATTAGTAAGTTTTCATGTCTCTTAAGCTGACCTCAGAATTGAAATACATACAATAAGAATATCTGATTTTTTTCATTGACTTTCCATTATTTTTCTTGTTTATTTAAAACATGTGCTAACACTGTAAAGAGAGCTTTGCTATTTATCGTGGAATGGTGTTTTCAAAAATAATACAGAGGATCTATAAACATTTGCTATATGACTGACAAGGAATATTTTAAACTATTTCTGTAAATTCTGAATTTTTCCCTTCCTTACTTATAATGTTTCCTTTGTTTTCTGACCTCCAAACAAAAACGTCTTTTGAGTTTTGGCTCTCCATTTTCTTCTGTCCAAGCTAGACTTGACTCCTTGAGAAATGCCTTCTCCAAGTCATCTCTGCTTCAAACTCTTCCTACCAGGCTCCATCCCACTACAGTCTGGGTTCCGTGTGTTGCACTGCATGGAAGTCTCTGTTGCCAGAGGCCACTGTTGACTTCATAAGTGGCAAAGTCAAAGTCCTTTGCCATTCTGGTTTCACCATCCTTCTCAGCAGCCACTAGTCATCATGACCGATATCTTTCTTCATTCTTATTTGTTTTCCCCTTCACTATCTATCAATTTATTTGGCCTGATGTGACTCTTCCTTTGTTGCTTCTTCCATGGAATTGAGTGTGTGTGCATGTGTGTGTGTGTGTGTGTGTGTGTGTGTGTGTGTGTGTGAACCAATGCATTTATTAAAGTTACTGACAGGATTATGTGTGAGAAGTTAATAACAGGAGCAAATATGACACCAAGGCAGTTGCATCACAAAAATGCACATCCCAGCATGGGTGACAAGTTGCAAAACTGCAGCCTTCCAGCAACTTGTACGACTCACATGTAAGCCAATTGTTCTGTTTCCTTTCTCTCTCTCTCTCTTTCTCTCTCTCTCTCTCTCTCTCTCTCTCTCTCTCTCTCTTTCTTTCTCTCTCTCTATGTCTGTCTCTGCCTCTTTCTATATATGTATGTATGTATATATATATATATATATATGTGTGTGTGTGTGTGTGTGTGTATTTAAAATAGATTTTTCTGGTTATGGTTTCCCTCCTCCTACTCCTCTCAGACCCTCCCTACTTTGCCACCCTCCCAAATACATACTCTGTCTCTCATTCTAGATCTCTCATTATAAAGCAAACAGACATTTCCAGAAAAAAGTACGTAAAATACATATGCATGTAGAAACATATACATCATCATGCGTAGAAATCTCATAAGAGTACTAATCAGAAACCATCATATATAAGCAAAATACCTGTGAGGAAAAAATAAAAGCATTATAAGGCAAAAATTCTCCAAAACGACCACAGAGTTTATTCTGTATTTCCAACCTGTTGTTGACTATGGGACATGCCTGTAAGTGTGGTTTGCATTCCTTGTAAAGTTTCTACTGTATTAGGTTTCCATATGACCCCTCAAATGACCCTCAGTTTTACATAATGTTCCTCTTTTTATTGTCTCCCTTACAACTCTCTTGTCTCTCCACCCCCATTTGATTCTTTTGTTCAGTTTCCCCCACCATCACCACCATCTTCATCCACATAACTATCCCATTTTCCATTCCAAAAGAGATGCATGCTTTCCACCCTCCAGTCCCTTATTCCTAACCTCTGTGGCTGTAAAATTTGTAGCCTACTTATTGAAGACTTAACAGCTTACATTCACATAGAAGTGGAAACATAGAATAACTGTATTTTTTGGGTCTGGGTTAATTACCTCAAAATGGAGCTTTCTGTCTCCTTTCATTTCGCTGTGGATTTCATGATTTCTTTCTTTTTAAACATCTGAGTGATATTCCATTGTGTAAATGTACCACATTCTCTTTATCCTTTCATCTATTGATAGGTTTCAAGGCTGTTCATAATTTCTGACTATGATGAATACGGCCACAATGAACATTGATGAACAAGTGTTTCTGTAGTTGGATGTTCAGTCTTCTGGGTACATACCCAAGAGTTAGCTGGAGAATTTCTCCTATCTGTAAGTGTTCAGCGGGAATGGTGTCATCTCTTGAAAAATGTCCCTGTCTCCTGTGCATTTTATGAGGTGTAGTTGCCCACTGAGCTGCATCTGCCACAGAGCTGGCCACACTGTACTTCAATGTTCTGATCGCATTTAGAAAAGTATAAGGATAACCATAAGCTAGTCCTCAGCACAGTACACACTGTGTATGAAGGACTTCAGTTTTACTTTGAAAATTAAATTGAATTCTGCTTCTCATTTGCTTCTTTCTTCTCTCGAAATTGTTATCATTTTACAGTCCTTATCCTCTCTTTGACCTAAAATTGAAGCCATTGTAATCATTTTTTAGCCCTATTCTTTCATTCCACTTATATTTCTTGGACAATCACCTTGAAGATAGATTTATGAATTCCCATTTTTGTGATCCCATTCCACATAGAGATATACTCTCTCAGCCTAGACCCATGGGGCCTCACCCTCCCTGGGGACCAGAAAGTGGATGGGATAGGGGGTCCTCGGTGGGTGCCAGGGGAGGAGGGGAAGGAGAGGGAATTGGGATTGATATGTAAAAGAAGCTTGTTTCTAATTTAAATTTAAAAATGGAAAAAAAATAGTTGGAAGGTGAGAGTTTAGGTTCTTTGAAGTCTCAAGACCTCTAACCAGATGATGCACTCCTGAAGGACTCTGTGGTATCAACAAGAGTTGAAGTTCAGAATTTGCC